CAACGGATCGTTCCTAGTCATCAAAGGATTAACAGAAAATACGTTGATTGATTAATCACTGTTATCTTGCACAGTGGATATGTCAAGAGTGATTGTTTACATGTCTAGGTTTACTAAAACAAAGGGAATACACTCATATCATGGCGCGAAGTGCCGATGTAAAAACAACATACTTTGTTCAAAGGGTTAACTGATAATACGTTGATTGATTGATCATTGTTATCTATCACTCAATGGAATTTTTAGGAACCGTGGACGCTATGAAAATAGTTGTCACGTGGGCTTTCTCAGCCGACCATTGAGACTTGATACCTATGTAAAACACCTGAAACAATCCAAGCGATCAGTTGAGAAACGAACACGGGTTATAATATCCCGAAACGATATATATCTTTTAAAATATTTGATTGTTACTGAGACACGTGACATCGAATAAGTTTCTTTGTACAGCTGCAGACGAGTGGGATATTGTTCCTTTGTGTGGATATTCACGGATACATTCCTCGAACAAGGAAGCTGCCTAAAACTTATACACATAAATTTGGTAGGTTGTAATTATGATATCTGCATTTTGTTTTCCTTCATTTGAACCGATTCGTTCTTGTTTCTCTACGTCTTGGTTGGGAAATTCTTCAATGCGCGATAGACGTTGTTGTCACAGGTCTTTTCCTTTGTAAGCGTGTATATATTACCGTCAATTTGTAAAATGTGATTCTCTCAGGCAATTTATAAAATGTGTAAATATTTCAGTCATTTTGACTAAAAAATCTGTCCAGATTGATCAAGACGATCAAATGTAGGATTAAAAGCCAAACAACTTAGAAATGTACTTTTCAACGTTACATTTTCAGTCTCTTGGTGATGACATTAAACATCAAAATGTTTGGAATTCGTTGTCATAATAATACAGATGGAAATGTCTTTCCGTCACTTTGTAAAATAACTGAATATTTAGACGTTTAATAAATTTGTTACACATTTGACAGTAAAAAAATATACACACTATAAAAATAGCATATGCTCAGGTGAAATATTTACTTTGTGTTGCAAGTCAAAATAGTGTAAACGAAAATCGCAAAATTACCAAGCAAGTGACTTATCAAAACTTCGTCACCATTACCGATGATACTCACAAAGATACCTACATTTCCTTATTATCTCGAAAACTGTATTTCATTTTGTTGATCAATGTGACCAAACGCCCTTATTACGACCCATAAAGTGACTAATGCGCTTACGAATGGCGCAGCAGAGGTCACGAACTAGTCTAGATTTCTGCTATACATCCGGGTATTCACTGGGAAAAAACAATAACAAAGGCAACAACCAGTCCCGGGGAATTGCGTTAGATCAGTGCCCCTTTAAGGGATAATTTTGCTGCTTTACCTGCGTTCTCATTTCCAAAGATTCCTACGTGGGCGGGGATCCAAATGAACTCTATTTGTTTACCTGTCTTGGTTAAGTTGTTTGAGCTTTTGAGTATTTGATTTATTAGTTTGGGGCGGTTTTTATTTTTTATTTTATTTTTGAGGGCTTGTAGTCCACTGAGGGAGTCGGTTAGGAGTCGGTTTTGGTGTTTTTTAGATTGCTGATTGTGTAGTGCTGAGGCCATGCTCATGTGTTCGGCCGTGAATATGGATTGGTTGTTTGGGAGTCGGTAAAATTGGGTGTTTTTGGTTGGTTGTGCGATGTGGACTCCGAAACCTGTGTGTTTTGAGATCGGATCTGAGGATCCGTCTGTGCATATGTGACACCAATTTGGCCAATTTTCGTGTATGTATGCTAGTGTGGTGGTTTTAGCGATGTTAGGATCGGTCTGTTTATTTCGTGTATCGGCTAGTGTTGTGTCTATTTTTGGTATTTTAAGTTTTGGAGTGAAGATATTGGATGATTTATTGTTTTGTTCAAGATTATTTATTTTGTGTTCATTTAGGTAATTGGTTATTCTTTGGGAAATTGATTTTTCCGGGCTAGCTATAGGGCCTTTCTAGGGCTAATATGTTTTTTATTAAGTTTTCGATTAGAGAGTTTGACTGGGACACGGCCCAGAAGTTTAGGGTAAGTTGTTCCCTACGTAGTTTAAGTGGCATTTCTCATGTTAAGGCCTGGAGTGAGGTGGGGGAGGTGCCATGTTGAGTTCGTGTGATTAGTTTTAGGGCCTGATACTGGATTGAGTCTAGTTTTTTAAAGAGAGAGGTGTTTAGGGTGTCGTAAATGGCACTGCCATAGTCTAGTTTGGATCTAATTAGTGATATATAGAGTGAGAGGAGGGTGTTTTAGAGGCCCCCCAGTTGGAGCCGGTTAGGCATCTTCACGTGTTTAGGTCTTTGCTGCATCTGGTTACTAGGTTTTTAATGTGAGCATCCCAGGTGAGATGTTCAACGAAGATTAATCCTAAGAATTTGGTTTGTTTTTGAAATTTGATTGGTTTGTTGTTTAGTTGGAGGTTTAGGGAGGCGGGTTGCATATTTTTTGTGTTTAAATACTATTCCTGTGGTTTTTTTTCTGAATTTAGGGATAAGCCCCATTTGTCAGCCCATTTTTGTATTTTATTTAGAGATTTTTGTAGTAAGTTTTGGGACATTTTAATGCTTTTAGTGCGGATCCAGAGGGCTCCATCATCCGCGAATTTTGATGTGTTTACTTTGGGGTATAGTCCCTCGTATAGATCGTTTATCATTATATTGAAGAGTGTGGGGCTTTGGATACTGCCCTGGGGAGTGCTATTTTCTAGGGGTCATTGGTCCGATAGCGTTTGGTCTATGCCCACGGTGATTTTGCGGTTTGTTAGGAAACTTTGGATGTAGTTAATTATTTGACCTTTAAGACCTAATTTTTGTAGTTTTTGTAAGTTCATTTCAAAATTCTTCAGCCTTTAATACATCTCAGGATTTGTAGCTAGACGACGGGTATCTACAGTCTTGACTGTGTGTTTTCTTTGATGAGAATGTTTCTCACCGACCTTAGCGTGTAGGGGTGTGATGTCCTGGGCAGGAAATGACAGTGTTTTGACTACTCGTCTTTCATTAATTAACGTGTTGGGCATGCCTAATTAACCTTTACTAATTCATGTTAAACCAAACAGGATGTTTTCTGGGGGCGAATATATTTCGTGACATCGGCGTATATCAACACCGACTAAGATAGACTTTTAGCACACAAACTTTTGAGTAATATACACAAAATATGTTACTTAGTCTTATTCTATAAAGTCAAAATTATTTATAAAAAGTAGAAGAAAATATGACGTTTTTTTTAACTATGACACGGGTAAGCACGTTTACACTTTCTGTAAATTCTATCAAAGGCTTTTCTTTGGGAGTAATATTGCATAATTCTTTTGCGACTTGTCCCGATTGCCCGTCGCCCAATCCCGTTCAAGGCTGCATACCTGATACCATTGCCTCTGAAGTTCAGGTGACCAGTAGGGCTTGCGACGAGATTTACATTTGGTATTTGTTGATTGTTTATTGGACACAGTTTATCCAGGCTTGTGGTTATAAGTTTTGTAAACTCATCATACGCAGTATTGTCATCATTTCTATTGTCAAGTGTATGTTCTGTCTTTGCAATATGTTGTAAAATGGTATCAGAGCAGTCACCAAGAAGAAAGTAATTTGGAATATCTCTGATCTTGTAATATCTGTAATACCATTTCCTGTACTACCTACCCTGTCACAAACACTCATCTTCACAGACCACTCTGACAGTGAATGATCCGGAACCCTCTCTGGAACGCATAAATCACGATCGTTGATTAAAACAGCCAAAGACCGCAATTAAAAGTGATCATATAAGGTTAGTTGTGGCACAAACACATGATCTATAACAGCCTTACCTCTGGTTGAAACGAAATTTGTATTTGTTCAATTTATTTGATAGAGATATTCAAACTCAGTTCAGCTAGATCTATCCATTTACAGTAATGGAAACAGAGTGGGTGAGTGAGTTTGGTTAAACGCCGCTTTTAACATTATTTCAGTTATATCACGGCGTGTCTGCTTAATGTGGGAAGAAAGCCCGAAGTGATGCAGGTTTCAGATGTGTACATCTTGGCGAAACCTACCGAGCGTGCAGACAAGGCTAGAAACATAACCGAGGCGAATCAGGATAGGTTTCTGGCGTGCCCAATACAAGGGACGCAACGCGGGACGAACTGCGGCGCCTCAGACGACTGTGCCCCCAAAGAAATAAGACAGACCATTTTAATCATCTGTGAAAGACGAAAAGAGAGCTCTATGCCATGAACTCATCTGTGCAGTGGATGTGGCCTTTATGTTCTGAAATAAAAGATGGACTGAGAAATACTACACCTCAACCCTTGACATTTAGGTATGTCACTATATGGCCTCTTTTAAAAAATGTCTTGTTTGCGTTTTAAGGAAACAGAAGAAACAGATTCGGTCTGTGATCAAATTAAAATAACATTTAATAATCTTTTAAAAATAACGTCAATTTGTGGATGGAAGGAAATTAAAATGCTTTTAGAAAAAGTCAAAAGGTTACTGTTTTATTAAAGGTTTTATCAATACATGTACTTAAATTCATCAAAAACTCGATCTAACGAAGCATTTCAACCCGATGACATGGATGTAAAATTAAATATGTCTCACAAGTGTTACCAATTTCGGAAGGAATCATTTCCAACCAAAAATATTAGTAATCAGGAACTAGTCGATTTTATATACACATTGATCCTTGTCAATTTTATATACACATTGATCCTTGTCAATTTTATGTAAGTGCTAAATTCCAAAAGATGTTAATGTGATTGAAAAAACAACAAAATAACATTGCAGGTTGGTTAGATTTTAGACCCTTTGCCTAATATTAGCTTTATGATATGACTGGAAGAAAAGGCCAGGCAGAATATTGTCTTCCATTGTACATTGTAGCGGTTTCTATGAATAATATATGGATTAATTGTAATCTGTTGAGTTTACCTCCCCTTGCTGCATATTGAAATCAGACAGTTTGTGCTATTGGTGATCAACTGGCGATACAGGCTGTGTACGTGTTGACCCAGCGCAGCTGACACCACTGCCGCCACACGCATTCATGACTGCAGCATACAGGTCAAACGTAATTGCTGCTAGAACCACGGAATATTAGATGCGTTAGTTACTTTGACGAGACATGGAACAGGTTAAGGTAAAAGGAAGCAAGGTGAGTTGGTCAAGTTATCCAGGTGCAACACACACTGATAGCACAATGCAGCAAACCGCGTTTCATAACATGACAATGATCGATGCAAAGTGAGAAATTCCAGGCTGCAGCTGACTGGGCAACACACATCATCGCGTCAGCTTGCTTGTCGTGTTGTTTTGAATATACATGACCACATTATTGCTGTTCCATACAACCTATATACATATAGATCTTTCAGAAGTAATTAGTCGTTATTTACACAACAATCACAAATGATGCTTGTTTTTCAATGAAAAGACAAGTTGCAACTTCAAGTACACCTACCAATTGTGGTGTTTTCTTGACTCTGATGGTCACTTGGTAGTATACGACTAGATGATCTCTGTGTCTTTTGACTTTGTCTCAAATCAGGATACAGCAAACCTAGGTTATAACAAATTCAAAGGGACCACTAAAGTAAGTTCATTATAACCATAGTTCTTGTTATAAGCCAATTACAGTATATATTCAGCAAATGGACGGACCACAAACATTTCGTTATAGTTATCGTATAAACATAGTTCACTGTACCTATATTTTCATGAGGCAATAGGGACATGCTGTACACTGTTGCATGTTGCATATGTGTGCACATAAATGCTCCATTATGACCGCATGCTTTAAGTAATCAAGTCTGGGCCAGAAAAAGTGTGTTATTTCTGACAATCAGCAGGGAGACACTGCTTGCTTTTTGGAGACACTGTCAGAGAAGATTTCTCCCATACAATATGTAATAAGTATGCAACTATTTCTCTATAAAATATAGAAGAAGATTGGTATGTTTGATATACACTCAGAAGCATTTACATATTTCAGTTAATAATCATCTTATCAGAACAAATTACTTGGCAAACATATTTCATAACATGCTCCAAATAATAATTTCTAACATTAACAAATCAACTCTTCAAAAAACTTTCCTTCTATTCATTAGGGACTGGTAATTTATTGTAGGGCCGGTGAGATTAAGGGGATGGGACATGAAAAAATGACACATTTCTTGTTTTTTCAAATAATAAAGTTATAATTTTGAACATTATTTAGGGACTGGTAATTTATTATACAGAGGGAGGGGGGTCATGGAAAAATGGTACATGTATTGGGGAGCATGAAAAAATGTTAAAAATATCATAAAGATCTAAGACAAATTTACTCCTCCCCAGCCTTTGATGTCATTTTGAATAGTTCATGCAATTTCCGAGAACCATCTCATGCACCATCTCAGGCCCAGATAGCTGACATTTATACCTCTGTGATCCACATTTCATATTGTATATTTGTACAATGTATTTGTGTATATATAATCCCAACTATAATATCAATCTCTTTCATTATATACCATATCTCATTAAAGTCTTCATCACTATCATCAGTCGTTGCAGACTCTACCTTATCTGCTTGATATAGAATACTAAACGAGCTCCCGTGTAATATCAGTTTGATGAAAGCGAGTTTCATAAAATTGGTATTACAAGGGAGCAAGTTCACGATTCACAGCATAATGCAATTGAGTTTAACAGAATAATATTTCGAACATGTCAAAACTTGACATTCATTAATTTAATGCCATACAACAGCCCACCCTTAGAATACAGGGGTCTGTTTCACAAAGCTATTGTAGCGCAAAGGTTATTGTAACTCCTACACTTTAACTAACATGGACTTATGACTGTCGTTGTGCAACAGTCACCTTGTGGAATGGGGTCCTACAGCACAAAGTGTACAATCAAGTTACAATACCCTATAACATCATTTGTGACACACAGGTGAAACTATGCCATGTGACGTCAGCCTAGCAACAGGCTTGCTGGGGTCATCGGGTGTGCATAAGCTCATATTATTTTGTACAAGCAATGTTGTTGAATTAGCCAACGAATGTTGAATGTTTTCAATATTTGTTAAGTGAAACTTGTTCCCTCAGTACATGTGTTTTGGGATTAAACACTGTAATACCAGCTTATTGTTATTAAACGGGGGATTTCTTCACGGACGATTAATAAATATATATATTTACCCTTCCCAGCAGGGTATACCACCACAAGATCTTAGTCCTTGGATAGAATTGCCTAATTCCTTACCTAGGCCTTACGGGTCACTCTTTAGTTACGATTGACCCAAGGGTTCATCTACCCCTTACCCATAACAGTCATTACACATTCGACTGACATGCCCCATGCCCATTTCATCCCCTGGGCACACGCAACTTCTCAGCCTAGCCAGTTCATGGCAACTCCACATTCCACCATGACCATATCACACACCTTGTACAGGCCAATGAATAATGCACCAAGTTGCCGGCTGTCAACATGTAATGGTGACAGGGCAAAGGGTGATGTGACATATGGTCAGTGGCACCTTGAAATTTTGGGGTGTTGATGTGAGAATGCTTACTCTGACACCGCCACATTCAATGCCATGCAGAGAGCAGTCAAGGGTTCTGCTACAGATTCTGCATTAGAGCAGTTGGACATTGTAATTGGCAATGTGATGCCTGGCAAGACGCTCAAGGAGTGCATTCACACAGCTCACCAAGATATAAACAAGTCTGTTGCAGCTTGGAGTTGTCGACTTCGTGATTTGATATCAAAGATCAAAGTCTCAGGAATGTTCCCATCAAATGCTGCCATGAACTTGCTTTGAAGCCATTTCTGGATGGGGTTGTCCAAGGATGCTTTGAAGCAGGCAACTCGTCATCACTTGGACTCTGGTCTCAAGTACAGCCAACTGTTTCTTGCTGTACGTTTGGAGGAAGAAGAACTGTTTATCCCTAACGAGGCACATCAGTATCTCGTTACAACTCCTGTACCATGTGGTGGGGAGATGGAGGATGTGCTAGGCTTAGAGACATTGATAAGAGTTGTAAGTCTATGGGGGATAATGTTCAATCTCATGGGTTCAGGTCTGCTGAACCCTCCCTTTCCCAACCATCTGCCAGGAGTCAAGGCCAAGCTCACTTAACAGGTGCCCAGATGAACAAACCTATAATAAAGCAGGTTGGTGATAAACCCCCTCCTCCATAACAATCATCCGTTTTCTGTGGAAGGCCAGGGCTTAAAAGAGATCACCAGCATAGCTCTGCTTTAAACTTGTAAGAGGACCATCGATGGAGCGAATGAGGACTCTAACCAAAGCTCTCCACAAAGTTGCCTTCCAATTTAGTTGGGCACCCAGACATTGTGCATGTGAAGGTCAAGGATCATGGTAGACACAATATTATGGATAACAACTTGTGTCTACCTTGTCACCCGTCAACTTCTAAGTAATGCCTATCAAACAAGTTAAGGATCATGTCTGTATAGTTTTGATAGATACTGGTTCACAGGTCACCACCATCTCTGAAGGCTTCTACAGAGCCTACCTCCCTCACTTGCCACTCCACCAAATCAGCTCATTACTAGAGGTGCATGGAGCTGGGGGAGCCAAGCTAACCTTTCTGGGGTATGTTGAGGCTACTATTGCTATACCCCCTGACTTCATGGGTCAAGTTGTTAGATACCCATACTTGTTCTTGTAGTGCCCACCGCTGACCTTTTCTTTAAGGTGACAGCAACCCTGCTGACAAGGTATCTGGGAGTTCTTCTCCTTAGACCTTATACTGACTCAGAGCCGACCAGTCCTTGATTTAGCCCCTTAATGCTGAGCGCCAGACAGGGTAACAACAAGTGCCATCTTTTAACGTCTTTTGGTATGATGCGGCCTGGGATCGAACCCTGGACCTTCCACTCTCCGGGCGGACGCTCTACCTCAAGACCACTGAGGCGGTCGGAATGACCTGAACCAAACTGAAAACTAAATCAACAACTAAATCTATCACCATACCCCCTTCTTGCAACCAGATTATTACTGGCATTTGCAGGGCCAGTGCTCCACAGATTGGTATGGATTTTTGTGCCACACAGTCCATTCTTTCTGGTTCACATACCCTTGTTACTGGTGTGGTTGGGTTTCAGTGAAGCCACTCATTAACATGGGTCAAGGTTGAGGTCACTAACCTGTCCACCAAGGATGTTACAATTCCAGCCAAGACAGTACTTTGCTTTATCAATTGGAGCAAGCTTTTGTATTGGACAGCTTATCCCCTGAGGATGTCAGCAACACTGGCTGTCCACCTACCAAACGACCAAAAGAGTTATTTGATCCGCACCCTCTGGGTGATAATCACTCCCCGGATGAAATAACTCAAATGTGCTCTCTACTGAATGAGTTTGACAATGTGTTTAGCAAGTCGGATATGGAGATGGGACTAAGTGACTTGGTCACCCATCAAATAGAACTCACAGATGAGACTCCATTTAAATAAAAGCAACAAAACCCATTCCATATTCACAATAAGAAATCTCTGCCCAAACCAGAGTCGATTGTAAGACTCTGACATGTGTTTATGAATCACTAGCAGAAAGTGATGATACGAGGTGTTCACGAAAAAGTGAGCATATCCTGGCACCCTTTACAAACACATGCATTATATGTTGTCCTTTGTTTGCAGTGTAAAGTCAGCCAACTAACAACTTCCTACCCTTTGCAACCTCTTTGATTTCTCTAGCTTTACAAGGACTTGTCTATTTTTGGATACTTCCACCAACTTCACATCACTGTTTAGCATCTTGACTTTCTTTGACACCTGCCACATGCTACCTGTCTCCTGATTGGCCCTTTGGTCCACTTCTTTAAACTTCCTTTCTCACCTGCCCTCCTCATGCATTCTGCATGAACACTTTATGGAGGGAGGTCTCTTGTTTCCAGGTGAGAAACATTTCAATATTCTTTTTCCATCCTGTTCTAGAAACAAATATACTTACAGAAAGGGTGTCACAGCTTTTCATTAAAATAAAATATATACAATTACAATATTATTTAATTTATTCTATCTAAATATTTGTCAGTCCAGACATTTTAGTTTCATTTATTGAGCACCTGTACTACAACTGTGTGCTACCCCATATACATTATAAAGATTTCCTTTTGGCTTACATTGTATTAAGTATTAAAACTCTGCATCAACACTTATAGAGGGAGATCTCTTGTTTCTAGCTTCCATCCCATCATCTGACTACAGAATAAAACCATCACAACCATCCAGAACTGCCTCATGTTTTAGCTAGCAGCCCAGTGGCTGGACATTCCATAAAGCACGCCCGACTATATTTGAATGCATCCGTTTATATCAAACCACAGGAATTGTTGGTGCCATGTCTAAGGTAAAGGTCATCTTTGAGATTATTGTGAAACGGGCCCATTTCTGGTGTCCCCCGCCGTGATATTGCTGGAATATTGCTAAAAGCGATGTAAAACCATACTCACTCACTCACTCACTATTGTGAAATGGGGTTGTATCCATTGCCAGTTACTGTTGCACTTTTACTTGCACTTGGATAAAATATTAGATCTCGAGAAATTGTCTGGATTAAGGTCAAGATCTGGAAGTAATGATTTTGAGCTGTTCGTTTTGTGTTTTGTTTGTATGTTGTTGAATGCCAAACTCAGCAAAATTCCAGCTAAATGATGGCATGATGGTCCCTTAAAACTTTAGAAGCTTTGAGGAAATGGCGGTGTAGGGCTGCTGTTTTTATTAGTACTTGCAAATACCTCAAGTGTTTGGAACAGTAATGGAAACATCTAAATCTTTACATTTTATCACAGTATTACCTTTTCAGCTACTCTTGCATTTTCATTCCAAGGTATGAGCAGTGGAGATGATTACAAACTTGTTGTTTTTCATATACACAGCATACAGAGGTGATACATGAGTTTGAGATCTGCATTGAACGACCAAAACCAAGTGCTTTTGATGAGCTTATAGCCCTGTTGAAGAAGATTCTCAATTATTGCATCTGTGTGGTGACGTGTGGTTGTGTGGCACCACACAGATCTTCAAATGGAATAAATGGTGAAGAATATGGAACACTGCTGTTAGACGATGAAAGAATAGCTGTTGAAAATCTGCTTACATATTTGGAAACAGGTATGTTGTGAACACATAGAGGCTAGGGACATACATCACATGTAGGCTATCATCATTGACACACAAAAAGTCTTTTCCTAGCCTGTTACTGGTGTGTCCATGCATCCTCAAAACTTTCAGTCTACAGGACCACGTCATCTTTGACAACTAATAATGGATGGATGTATAATATGTCCCACAGTCAGGTTAATGTGACATAAAAGTCACAGATCAAGGCACTGCTCTAGAATAATTTCATAGTGACTTAATTGGTTTAGTCAGATAGTCAGTCATGCAGTGTTCCCACAAGATCGGGACTAGTGAAGGACTGATTTCCAGATGAATCAGCCACATTGAATGGACTTGAAGAAGTTTGTGTTTCAGAGAACTGCAATGATGCGGTGGTGTCCCCTCAGCATCTGCGAGCCCTCTGCATTCTAACATATTCTGACAACAATGATTTACAACGATCAGCAGCCCTGTGCTTTGCAGAGTTCAGTGAGAAGAGTAAGTTGTTTTCTTATTAAGTTATAGTTTCTCTGAGGGTTTGGTTTAAAATTTTCAACCTCCAGCAGCTGAGGAGAAGTGTTTAACTAGCTTTTGAAACATTTGAATGCAGGAAATACAAGAAAGAAGAAGAAAACATTGGGATACCTTTTAGTGAATCAACACAGTAGTCACGTTTAAAAAAAAGATTTGATAACAGTGGGCGTGAGAAAGACCACTTGCAGCATGCATACAGCTGAAATTATATTAACACTTAAACGCCCTTTCATCACCTGCCTGGGTGGCACAGTGTGTTACAATACTAAACATGATATATGAGGTTCCAGGATCGATTCATGTCATGGAATTTTCATGTGAAAACAATTGTGACTTTTAACCAGTTAAAACTCAACATTAGATGTGTATTAAAAGGGCTGTTTATACAATTCAACTGTAGAACCTCCAGCATGAAGATGTTTGCATTCGTAGGATAATCCCGAAATGGAATTCTTCAGTAGTACTATCTGCTCTCCTAGCTGAACCATTTGAACTCCTCCTAAATACTACATTGCTGCAAACATCAAAGAAAGTTGCCGTTTGATTAGCCATGGCTACAGCAGCTGGAGTCTCTGAACTTCATGCCTTGGACTACTCGAATCTCTACAGATCCTCATCGACATCGTTGTTTGTTTGTTTGTTGGTTCGCACTCAGCAATATTCCAGCTATATGACGGCGGTCTGTAAGTAATCAAGTCTGGACCAGACAATCCAGTAATTGATATAATGAGCATATTGGGATATGATGACATGCATCAACCAAGTCAGCCTGACCACCTGATCCTGTTAGTCGCCTCTTACGACAAGCATAGTCGCCTTTTACGGCAAGCATGGGTTGCTGAAGACCTATTCTACCCCAGATCTTCATGGCATCGTTGGAAAAGACCTACCATCTCATGTAAATCCATTCCGACAAGGACATCACTAAGGCCACGATCGTGGACTGGATTTTACTACTATTCCAGGCTTGTCTTGTGTGCATGAAATTAAAGCCCTGGTGTCATGGACTTTGGTTTCTGAACAACTGGTTGTTGCAGGATGTTAATTGGGCTCACACAACACCTTTATTAGCTTATATTTGAAAGACATACAGCCAGACCTTCAGAGCATATACTCCCTAGGTCCTGTTGTTGCAACTCAACAGGTACATTGTCAGGTAATAGTTTTCCTCTCTTCCATGAAATGAAGGGGTAGGGGATTTTCACCAGCAGCTACAGAAGGTAAGAACACCGATATCGTCAATGCCATTAAAAAGAAACCGGTGATGTCAAAGGGAGGAAATGACGAGATTAAACTGAAAGTGACATCAAAACCGGAAAGAGAAAGACAAGAAGTGACACCAAACCCAAAATTAATAAGCAAATGATGTCTTAGAAAGGTTCATGGAAAAATCATTAATAAGAATATCAGCAATATAATGGTAATTCAAGGGAAGCTATCACACTCTGACTGATTATTCCACTGCATGATTTTACAGGATTTACTGTCAACTATACAGGGTGTGTACTAGAGGCAAAAGCCACCTGCAATGATGTAATAAAGGTTGAGGATTCGTAGGAATTATCAAAGCTATCAAAGTTATAGTTATCATTGTTAATAATTCAGAGAATACTACCTCTATTACATCAGAAGTACCCCCTCCCACCTCCAAAAGTACAGTATTTATAGCAATAATGTAATAGAGGTAGTATTAATTTGACTTTTGATAATTGAGTTGTTTTTGCATTGTCAAAGCCTTGAGTTGACCTTACAGTATATTATTTAATATATCTTGGTGAAATTTAATGTAATCTAAAAGAATATGACAAATATTGTGTCTTGGAAATAGGTCAAAGTGACCTACTACTCTCATCAAAAGAATATCACCACTTTTCATACATAAGTGTCAACATCCTGTGACACTATACATGGATAAGGCTTAAAAAGCATCTGCTGGAAATGGTAACATACTTTAAGAATCCCCTTCACCGCGTCCTAGACCTTATAGGAAGGTATCAGAAGCTATTCAGGATGTGGCCCTACGAAAGATTACATGTACCAAGTTCCACTGACTAAATGTAAATGCGGGTACCGAAACCAAAACTAATGTTGTTACACTGGAAGTGCATATACCGGTAATTCACTTTCTTATTGAGATATGTAGAGACTTTCTCAAGACCTACTGCATTAGAAATTGGCTTCTCCAACCAAAGATGAAAGTACTAGGCTGGATATGCAAATAACTATCTTAGGTAGCTATGAAAAGCTGAAGGCATGGGACTTTCTGTTTTGAAGCAATGGATCATTGGGCATGTGTTTTCCTGAAATATCAGAAATTTATGAAACCAAAACTGCAAATAGCTTTCTTATAAAGGTTGCTAGATGTATTAGATTATTTAATAGTTGTACTTTATTAGGCATGTGTTTTTGCAAACTCGTCGATCCTCTGGAGTGCTTAACAGAGTACATTACATAAACATCATTTGTTGAGATGTTACACGAAATACATCTTTGAGAAATGTATTCTCCAAGGTATAGAATATCTTCCAACATTTGTTCTTAATGTCAATCTTCAGTGTGCGGACCACTCACAACAGAAATGGCTGTCCCTCTTGTCCAGCTGCTCCATTCAGCTGATGTACAAGTACAGAGAGTGGCAAGTCATACTGTCAGCAAGTTTTTAGTAGTGCCATATGGTGAGTATTTTGTCTGTCAACTGCCTTTTCTTTTTCCAAATGTCCGTCTTCTGCACTCCCCCTTTCCCACTGTATATCTACAGTACCGCCTCCGTGGTATAGCGAATAGAGCATCTGCCTTGGGAGCGGAAGGTCTGGGGTTCAAATCCTAGCTGCATCATACCAAAAGATGTTAAAGATGGTACTGTTACCCTGCCTAGAGCTCGACACTAAGGGGATTTAAACAAGGACCAGTCGGCTAAGAGTCAGTATACGGTGTGTTAGGGGTAGGTACCAACAAACGGGCAACACCAGGGGCTGTACAGGACGTCCACGAGTAACGCTGATTCAAAATAATCCATCTGGATAAATAATCGTATCCATCTAGGTCATCTGCATAATTGGTTTACTTTCACAGCTCGCAGCATCCTTGACTTATGTATGATTAGTGCAAGGACTGTGAGGAACTGATTACAAGAGCACCTGACCAAGATGTCCAGCTGTGTGTCCAATTTTGCTATCGGGTCATCGAACCACATGCTTGTCATGGTCAAGACAACATCTGAGGTTCAGGTTATAGAACCGCAGGTTGGTCCTCCTCACAAGTAAGTTCAGGTCATCAGTGGCAGTTTGACCGGTGTTTGGTACTGTGACGAAGTTAACCATCCACATGTGCTCAAGTTCCTTCAGACTCAATCATGTTGCACTTGTTGTCACAGACTTCATTGGACAACAGAACATCCCCACACTCCCTTGGCCATGTGTAGGATGAAATGAATACAAATATAGCGACAAAACCCTTTCCATATCAAGCACTGTACAATTCCGACTGTGTCATGAGCATGTGTTTATGAATCACTATCAAATAGCAATGATACCAGATTTCGTGAAAAGGTGAGTGTATCCAGCCCCACCGGCGGCACCCATCACAAACACATGTGAAGGCAAGTCAATTGTTCACCTGAAAAAACACAGGAACATATGGTACAAGTCCAAATTGGGAATTCGCACATCATTTTTTGTCAGTGATGCATCAAATTTGGAAATGTCCTCCACTTGTCTACCATAAAACATTTTGAAAGCTTCACTGAGGCCTTGAATTTTGTAACCTTGATCAAACAACTTCTGAGCAAGAGTCGTATGACGCTCTTTGAAATCTTGGTAGAAAGAGCATACTCGATGTGTATCTCAAAAGTTGTGAAACATAAACACAAAAGGCTGTAGCTGCTTGAATATTGCTTGACATGAAGGGAAAGTTGACCATTGGAAAGTTGAAGTCATCCCTCTTGTCATACAGTCTTGTGGAGAGTGTTTTGTAACTCTGAATCTTTATGCAAAGATCTAAATATGAAACAAATGAGGCGGTCTCACTGGTCTCCTTTATTTCTAGTCCAGGTGGGTAAATCAGTGGAAAGGAATTGGCTATTTGATGGTTATTGAACTAAACTGACGGGCAAAAGAAACTATACCAAAGAATTGTTTATTTAATAAATATCACATCAGCACTGAACTGGAGTTTTCATTGACAAACAAAATCGCATGAACGCAGCTTCATCATTACTGAGTTTTAAAAATCCTGCTGCTTCCCGAATATAGACTTTATCAAGCTTTTTTCATTCAAAATGGGATGCACGTTCATCACGACAAAATGGCTCGGAACGGTATAAAATCCGCCAATCTGTATGTTTTACACCACAATTGTACCGACCACAACAGCTGACATGCCGAGACTGACCGCACAAGAGCGAGAGAGAGCAATTGGGATGTTGCAGTTGGGAGCACGCCATGCCCATGTTGCTCGCATCTTCAACTGCACCAGAACAACGATAACGAGGCTGCAGACACGACTCACACAAACAGGTCGTACAGATGACAGGCCAAGAAGTGGAAGACCCAGGGTCACAACCGCCAATGAAGATCGGTACCTCCGCATCTTACATCTACGCAATCGTTTCGTCACTGTGACATCATCGGCAGCCACAGCCTTACTTCATGTGGTCAGCAGAAGGACAGTTGCCAGGCGTCTTCGACAACACGGTATTCGGGCCTACGGGCCCTTCCGCTGGATGAACTTAAGCCGTCGTGACCGACATAACCGCCTCCATTGGGCAAGAATGGTACAGCGGTGACAAAACAGGAACTGGCAATGAATTCTATTCTCTGATGAGAGCAGGTTCCAGTTGTATCGAGCTGATGGCCGGCCGTGTGCGTGTGTATCGTTGGAGAGGAGAGAGAACAGCCCAATGTTGTGTTCAGGAGACACATTCGGTGGTGGAAGCGTCAAGGTCTGGGGTGGGATTTGCAGGGACCGTACAACAGACCTGGTTGTCTTTGACCGTAATTTAAATGCTCAAGTCTACATCGACCTTTTGCAATTGCCAGTAAGGTCGCCTGACTTAACATCCATTGAGCACTTGTGGGACTATCTGGACAGACAAATAAGGGAAAGAAATCCCCCTCCGCCAAGTCATCAAACGTTGATTCAGGCACTGTTGGAAGAATGGCGAGCCATCCCCAATGACGTCATCAGGGATCTTGTAAACTCCGTGCGGCGACGTGTCCAAGCCTGTATTCAGAGCAATGGAGGCCATACAAGATACTGACAGTAATGCATTTGTCAAAAAAATGCGTTTTCTGTTTTCGTTCAGATGATTTGTTTATTTTGCAAATTGACATTTACCCCCTGTGTCATTCCTTACCTGATATTGAAGTTCCTGTAAATGCCACCTTTGTGGAATTTGAATCAGAACATTGTCAGATAAATTTTCTTTCCAACTCGCAACACTATTTTTGTGATATATTTGATAATGTTGTCAACACCAAATCAATGTTGGTATAGTTTCTTTTGCCCGTCAGTTTATATCAGATCATCAATATACTGAAGCTGAAGTTCAACTTCTTGGCCAAATTATCTTGTTTAGACTTGTCCAATACAGGCAGAAATTCCGATTCAAATGCATAAAGCAACAGATCCGCAAGAAGGGGGGGAGCACAATTGGTGCCCATGATGATGCCTACTCCTTGCCTAAATATCTTGCGCCCAAATTTTACATAGATGTTAGCAATGAGGAATTGCAGCATTTCACATATTGTTTTCTCAGTAAACTTCAGATGGCATTTGCTTTCATTTTTCATAAATTGTCCTGAACCTCTGAATATAGATTCATAACTGTTTCTGTGTTCACCATGTTTTGTAACAAAAGCCCCATGGATTAAGGAATGAAGTTTTGCCTTAAATTTATCATGTTCTTTTGTGGTGTACAAAGTTGAAAAATCAAATGTTTTGACAGAATTGAACTTGGTTAATTTCTGTGATTGCAAAAAATCAAGCAAATCCTTTGAGTTTTTGAGAATCCACATGGTATTAATTCCACTTGTCTCAAATATTTTCTGTGAATATGAAGAAAGTCCATCCTTGATTGTATTAAGGATTATGGTTAGTCTTTGAGATAGGGATTTGGTGGTACATTTGATTTACCCAGCAATGTGTTTCTCTTTGTACGGATTTTTATGGAGCTTTGGAATCCAGTACAAAAGAGGATGGACCTGTCTTCAGGTTTTAGAGTCAAGTCTAAAGTTGACAGTACTGATTTATCGTTTTGGCAGATTTCTTCCTCATTTAGCATACTGGCCTTATATGTGGCTTTATTTGAAATGTCATTTATGCCAAGTTCTTGGATCAAACAATTAATGTAGTGATGCTTACATACAATGGTTATGTTATTTGAGGCTTTGTTAGTGGGAACAACTACAAACTTTTCATGTAAGGCAGCCAGACTTTGGATGACAGCTTGCTGGGACAGAATAGGTTTATTCCAATTCTGTTTCCTCTTTGTGCTTTCTACCAATGACAACATCACGCACTGACTTCCAAAACAACCAGTGACATTGGTCCAGCTGTGACAGGCCTTTATCCAGATCTTGAATGACATCCCACAAGCCTGTTTCAACTATCGTGTGTCATGAATGAGGTGCCGTTGTCAAGCTTGTGTCATTGTTTAGAAGATAAATACTATGTGTGTGTCTATTTCCGGGATTTTATAGAGGATTTGCATCTTGGAAATTTTCTTTCGAGCCCCTCAAGCTAACGCTTTCGGGTCTCGAGATGAATTTCCAAGATGCAAATACTCGATAAAATCCCGGAAATAGACGCACACATAGTATTTATCGATATTGTAAATCTATTGTTATATTTAGAAAAAAAACATGCGCACTCTTTAACACCTCATACTTACTCTGTTGTGAGGCGTCAACATCAAACGTTCTGTCGCTGCTATGGTAATTGTGATTTTAGTAATTAACGTACAACGGTAATGAGACGCAAATACCATCACGTATATTTCAGCTGCGATACCTACATCCTTGAATTCCTCATACATTTTAGAATCAAATGCCAAATGGTCTTTGTCACCAATACAAATTGTCTAGATGTAATGAAGCAAAATAAATGAGGTGTGAAAACGAACACTGAAATAACTGCACTTGTTGGAAATGTAAACAAAGCCATTCGTCTATTCGTTGAGTACATTGGCTCGAGATCTGCATTTTCAGAATATACACGGTAAGAAAGAATAGTAGGAAGAATTAGGGAATTAAACATATATACATTGCAATAATTTGATATTTTCAACAGAACTTGTCGAAGTTCCCGTCCTGTGTGACGCCATGACTGACAACAACAACAAAAAACAGTACACAGATTGTCAGAATGTTTCTGATTACTTACATGTCACATTTATGTATATACGAACCCTGAATCAACGAAAGTCCCCTCGTAAAATCCCGCGCACTGTTGACAGTCAACACGCCATTTTGTAAAATTCGGTCACCGGTAGTGATGTCAAACTTCAACATATTTGTTGTACATATTTGGTAATTTCTCTGAGGTGAAGGTCCTTGAATGAAAGTACACATGATCATTGTTAACTGCTTTTTACTGTTTCATGATGTAGATCTTGCATATCTTTCGTACATTTTTTTCACACAATTAATTTATTTTTGGATATTAATCAATGTTCAAT